TCCGGAGCTCCGTCGGAAGAGAGCCGTCATCACGGAGGGCTTCTACATCATCCTTTCCCCTCCGATGAAGTGTGAGTAGTTTACCTCAGACCTTCGTGTCCATAGTTAGTAGCTAGATGGCTTCTTCTCTCTCTTTGAATATCAATACAAAGTTCTCCCCCTCTCTTGTGGAGATCTATTCGATGTAATCTTCTTTTTGCGGTGTGTTTGTTGAGACTGATGAATTGTGGGTTTATGATCAAGTCTATCTATGAATAATATTTGAATCTTCTCTGAATTCTTTTATGGATGATTGGTTATCTTTGCAAGTCTCTTCGAATTATCCGTTTGGTTTGGCCAACTAGATTGGTAGTTCTTGCCATGGGAGAAGTGCTTAGCTTTGGGTTCGATCTTGCGGTGTCCTTACCCAGTGACAGAAGGGGCAGCAAGGCACGTATTGTATCATTGCCATCGAGGATAACAAGATGGGGTTTATTTCATATTTCATGAATTTATCTCTCTACATCATGTCATCTTGCTTAAGGCGTTACTCTATTTTTAACTTAATACTCTAGATGCATGCTGGATAGCGGTCGATGAGTGGAGTAATAGTAGTAGATGTAGAATCGTTTCGGTTTACTTGTCACGGACGTGATGCCTATATACATGATCATGCCTAGATATTCTCATAACTATGCTCAATTCTGTCAATTGCTCAACAGTAATTTGTTCACCCACCGTAGAATACTTATGCTCTTGAGAGAAGCCACTAGTGAAACCTATGGCCCCCGGGTCTATTCTCATCATATCAATCTCCATCACTTTAATCTTGCTTTGCTTTTTTACTTTGCCTTTACTTTTTACTTTGCATCTTTATACCAAAAATACCAAAAATATTATATCTATCAGATCTCACTCTCGTAAGTGACCGTGAAGGGATTGACAACCCCTAATCGCGTTGGTTGTGAGTAGCTATCGTTTTGTGCGGGTACGAGGGACTTGAGCGTGGCCTCCTACTGGATTGATACCTTGGTTCTCAAAAACTGAGGGAAATACTTACGCTACTCTGCTGCATCATCCCTTCTTCTTCGGAGAAAACCAACGCAAGCTCAAGACGTAGCAATAATGCACCCTTTTATTTCGGACTAGGTTTGTATTCAGGGTCGGATTATCCCAAAAGTTTGTTTCGGTTTTCCAGGCACTTTCCATCGCACAGTACTTTCGTACTATGGACGCCAAGTCAGCGAAGCGTGTTATCTCGGTGATTTATGGCGTTAAGGATTCCCTTGTCCGTGCAATTATTGCAGAAAAATAGGATTGTGTCTTCCTCGCGACAGTCCTTAACCTTATTCATCGCAAGGAGGAATCTGGCCCAATAGTGATGTACTGTTTCCTGGGGCTCTTGCCTGATGTGGGAAAGATCGCTTATGTTTGGGTGGGTGGGTGGAATTGAATCCGAACCCTTACCTGATCTGGGATCCAGGGGCCGAGGAGTTTCCAATTTTGTAAGTTCCGGTTCCGGGGTGTTACCTGATAATCCTGGCCCGCTGCCTGACTCTAAGTTCAGGGATTGGATGTTGTCCTCCCGCGAACGGGCGTCCAGCTCGGAGAGCTCGGGAATCCGGATATAGTTGGTCCTCAAGATAGAGGAAAGGTCGTCGCATTGGTCCTCCACCACTGCAATATGATGGGTGACCGGTGGAGAGTTAATCTCCCTTTGATCGGGTTTAAGCCCAATCCGATCATAGTCCGTAGCGACTCCCAAGGCGGCGATGCGATCCAAGAGCTCGTTTAAGGAGGCGAGCTCCATTGGATCCATCTATTCAGCGAGTGCTGATTTGACGTGGATGCTGTTTTTGATGACCCGAGAAGTCATCGTTGGCGCGGCGGCCGAACAGGCGGTCATGATGAAACCGCCTAGCCGGAGAGTTTGGCCGACAGCCAAAGCTCCCCCAACAGTAGTACCATCTTTAAAGACGAGGCGAGACTTCCTTCCTTCTGGCGACGGCACAGAGGAACTCTCAATGAAAGCGCCAATGTCGGTGTCAAAACCGGCGGATCTCGGGTAGGGGGGTCCCAAACTGTGCGTCTAAGGCGGATGGTAACAGGAGGCAGGGGACACGATGTTTTACCCAGGTTCGGGCCCTCTTGATGGAGGTAAAACCCTACGTCATGCTTGATTAATATTGATGATATGAGTAATACAAGAGTTGATCAAGCTAGCCTATGGTATGATTGTATGTTGTCCTACGGACTAAAACCCTCCGGTTTATATAGACACCGGAGGGGGCTAGGGTTACACAAGGTTGGTTACAAAGGAGGAGATATACATATCCGTATTGCCTAGCTTGCCTTCCACGCCAAGTAGAGTCCCATCCGGACACGAGACGAAGTCTTCAATCTTGTATCTTCATAGTCCAACAGTCCGGCCAAATGATATAATCCGGCTGTTCGGATACCCCCTAATCCAGAACTCCCTCAATGATCGTGGGCTTCTTAACATGGTCATGATATTTTGGACAGTTCTTCCATCTTCAATGTATGCAGTCAAGAGATCCGAGCAAACATGTCCACGCTCTTGCTTCAGACATTACGCCTCTTGGTGTCTGCGGCAGTTGGTTCTCTCAAGTACCGAGGTCCAAACATCTCGACCGTGAAAATAGCAAATCTAACCATGGCGTCTCCGCATGTGCTCAGACATCCGGAGGTATTTGTCCCACCAATCTGCGGCCGTACCATATGCAAGCATCCGCAATCCGGTCGTGCACTTCTACTAACCAGAGAATCCAGTCCTTCCAATCGTACGCTTCTTCAAAATGAAGTAGTCATCAAAGGAGCGAACACCATGATATATGCGACAAAAGACATTTTTTCGCATCTGAAAGCGCCAACGGAAGTTATCAGCGAATAGCGCATTGGGGGGCAAACTAGTTGTCTATCAATGTCAAATGGCCTCGTGCCCCGTCCTGATTGAGCACTTGATGACTCCCTGAAATTGAGAAGCAGCTCTTCCGGACGCTTTGCTTAGTAAGGACCTCCTGTAGCATCGCCATTTTATCTGTGTAGTCCTTCTTGTCGGATGGGTCATCGGAGGACTCAACGTAGTGCTAGTATATGTATTCCGTGTCCGAATCAATTGCTACAAAGAAGGGACAAAAAGAAATTAGAACATACATTTCATCAAACACTTGTCAAGCGTGGTCACTACCATAGGGGTGGATGGTACTTGCGCGGTGGACGAACAAGAGGTGTGGACCGGCAGCGGAGGACAAGCGGCATGGAGGCCGGGTGTAGCGGTAGGGGTCGCGGAGTTTCGGGAAGTGCTTGGCCGGCGGCCGGGATGGTAGAGCGGCGCCGTCGACGAGAAAGGAAGCAGATGCAGAGAAAGAGGGAAGTATGGAAGCGCGAGGTCCAGGCGGGGTTTTGGGTGTTAGAATCTTACGTGCTCGTGTCCGGACTCCTACAAAACCCCGATTTATTTTCGGTTTGCAGAGAAGTGGACGGCCGGGCGGTCCACTGACCAATGTAGGACACCGTTGGATGGTAAACTGTGTCCGGATAACTCGGTCCGGATGGTTCGCGGCCAGTTTAAGAGTCGTATTTGAACATGCCCTAGCTCCGATCTCACAGGAATGTTGTTAAAACGTTTGTGTGTCGTGGCGGTGCTTCATGTAGGAACAGGACCATGGACACACACACCACCTGGCATTGCGTTTGCTTGTCTTGTTGAATAATACTTTCTTCGTTTCAAAATAAGTGTTTCGATTAACTTTGATACAAAGTTATAATAAGATTGTGACACTTAAGACTGAGGAAGTAATTAAGAAAGAATTTTCCATGATTGGCCGTCTGATCGATCTGCGGTTGGCGCAGCTTTGCTTGTTTCATTGTTTGTACAAGTCGGCAAGTGGAATTCATTCGGTTTATGTTGACTAGTTGGCCGGACTAGCCTGCCTGCCGTGGATCAAGTTCAACGAGTCAGTCGTCAACAGCAACAGCGACACCGGCCGCAGCAGCAGGTGTCTGACTGTCTTCTTCCCCTTATCCGTCCCTTTCCTCCCTCCAACCCCCGCCTCTAGACTTATTAGATCCTCAATCGCTACAAGTAACACACACGCGCGCACACTGGCCGAGGAATCGTAAAAGCCACGACTTCTTCCTCCTTCGTCCACCTTCGTCTCCCTCCCTTCCGCGCAGGCCGCTCACCCCCTCCCCTGCCTCGCCCCGTCGGATCATCCGCGCCGCTGCCCGCCCCCCGAGGTAATCCACCATACATATGCTGCCAATTAGTTGATTGATCTTGCTCTTCCGTCACAGCCTTGGTTTGATTTTCCATGGAGGGAGGGAGGGAGTGAAACCCCCTCCCAGTAGCTAGCTGCCGCTGCCCTGCTCTGTTTTCTTGGTAATTGCCCCGCTCTCCTCTGCTTCCGGTAGAAGGAAGGAAGGGAGGAGTTCCTCTTTCTTCCTAGGGTACACTGCTCCACTGCTCAATCCGATCCGCAATTGCATCTGAACCTACCAACCGTGCGAACAGTAGCAAGTTTTTTTGGGGATTCATTCACCACGTACAGAACTGATGATACATTTGGCTGCTTGCCTGCTTGTGTTCACCAATCCCGTCCCTCTCCCTAGATCGCGCCCTAAATCGTGCGACAATATAATACTGTGCCTCCTTGCCTGCCTGCTTTAATTTGCTTGTGTTCATCTTCATCCACATCCACCATGTGCCTCGCCCTCTGCTGCTCTGCTTCTAGATCGTGCAACAATATTATACCTGCTTGATGGTGGTGTTTGTTGGAGAGAACCTTGACTTGGGGCCTGGCGGCTAAGCTACTTTACCATTCTTTACTACCACATACCAGTTCATCGTCCACCAGCTTTCTTGACTATCATGCCCCCGAATTCACACGCGCCCGATTACTCAACTCACTCACACTATTCTCCTACTGATCCATAAGCCTCCTTATCTATCAGGAAACCAAATCGGTCGGTCAGTGCTTCACCGCAGCGGCGCGGCGACGATGTGGTGGCTGCCGCCATGCTTCCACGGCGGCAACGCGGCCAAGGGGGAGGGCCGAGACCAGTTCGACCCCAACCCCGTGTCGCCGGCCGCGGCCTCGGCGCGGTCCATGAGCACGGCCACGTCGTCCACGATCACTGCCCCGTCCGGCTCCGACCTCACCGGCTCCATCAACGCCTCCGACATGAGCGCCGACTCCATCCAGCGCCCGCAGCAGTACCCGAGCTTCGCCGACCGGCCCGCCAACCTCCGGGTCTTCACCTACGCCGAGCTGCGGGCCGCCACCCGCAACCTCAGCCGCTCGCTCATGCTCGGCGAGGGCGGCTTCGGCTGCGTCTACCGGGGCGCCATCAAGGTCGACGCCGCCGCCGGAGACGGGACGCCTCCCCCGATGGAGGTCGCCGTCAAGCACCTCAACCGGAACGGCCTTCAGGCAAGATACATACAGATATACTCCACCAACTACATGTGCACATTGCTCTTCGGTGGCTCTGTCCGTCAGTAAAATTAATGGCGAATTTGATGATCTTGATCAGGGGCACAAGGAGTGGCTGACGGAGGTCAACGTCCTGGGCATCGTGGACCATCCCAATCTGGTGAAGCTGGTAGGCTACTGCGCCGACGACGACGAGCGAGGGGCGCAGAGGCTGCTGGTGTACGAGTACATGCCTAACCGGAGCGTGGACGATCACCTGTCGGGCAGAGCAATCGGGACGACTCTGTCATGGCCTATGCGGCTCAGGGTGGCTCTCGACGCCGCCAAGGGGCTCAAGTACCTGCACGAGGACATGGATTTTCAGGTACTTCTTCTTCTGTGCTTCGATTGAAGCCTGAAACATCCGAATGAATTGAAATGAAGCTCCATCTGCAGGGAGACATGAACTGAATTTGTGACATTGCGTTGCTCAGATAATTTTTCGGGACCTCAAGACGTCAAACATTCTGCTGGATGAAGACTGGAACGCCAAGCTTTCAGACTTCGGCATGGCTAGGGAAGGCCCGACGGAGGGCCTCACACACGTCTCCACAGCGGTAAGAAAATGAAGCTAGCATTCAGATACGCCATGTTTTCTAGACGAAAAATTAATTCAGATACAGGTCAGAAGTACGTACGAAATGGATTATGACATGTATGATGATATTGATGTATCTACAGGTGGTTGGCACCCTGGGGTACGCGGCACCGGAGTACATCCAGACGGGGCGGCTGAACGCCAAGAGCGACATCTGGAGCTACGGCGTGCTGCTCTACGAGCTCATCACGGGGCGGCGGCCCATCGACGGGGAGCGGCCGAGGGGCGAGCAGAAGCTGCTGGACTGGGTGAAGCCCTACATCTCCGACACCAACAGGCTGCGGCTGATCCTGGACCCCAAGCTGGAGGGCCGCTACAGCATCAAGTCGGTGGCCAAGCTGGTCACCGTCGCCAACCGCTGCCTCGCCAGGCTGCCCAAGGCGCGCCCCAGGATGGGGGAGGTGCTGGACATGGTGCAGAAGGCCGTCGACGTCGACGGCGCCGCCGCCGGTGCTGGCGCACCTCCGCTGCACCACTACAGCAGCGGCGGCGGCAGGGAGGAGGGGGGCAGCTCGAAGCTGAGGCGGGATGGCAAGAAAGGGTTTCATGGCCAGTGGCGAGCTGGAAGAGGAAAAGGACCCCTCATGTGCTGATGCTGATGCTAGTTTAATTCAGGTGATTGATTAGATTTTTCTAGGATCTCAATTAATCCTAGTACGGCAGTAGTATGTGTGTTGGTGGTGGTGTTCCCAGGAAGAGTCATAGTGTGCAGTGTCAATTGTGTGGATATGATATGGCTATATAATATGGTTAGGTGAGTGAGTCAGTGATTATCCTATCAACCATCATTATTAAAAAGAAAATCCCAGCCCTCCTTTTTGCTGTAAAATTCAGCATAAAGTCTTCGTAGACCTCTTTCCGATGAAAAATCATTTTTTTTGTGTAATTCCAAATGTGAAGCAAGTCTCCGTATCTTATTGGTGGGACTGAATACTTGAAATTCAATAGAACCCCTGTTTTCTTCTTAATCTCTTTGTTCTTCACCCCTTTTGCACAGCAGTGTTGTTTTCAGATTGGAAATTTGGAATACTTGTTGTTTCCTTGTTTTACTGACTACTCCCTCGGTCCCACAATATAAGATGTCATTACATATTTACATCCAATTTATTTTGGGGTTCTAGGATTGCTTACCGCTCATGACCCGTGGTAAGGATGTGAGGTACTTATAGTAGGCACTCTCCCTCTCCACTCGTCCCCTGGGGCGGGCATCCTCATTTGTTGTTGTTCCTCTCTGGAATTGCTATAGCTTAGATCAAACCAGTGGGAGCTCGTTTGCCATGTCTTCACGGTGGAGGCTTGAGCTGGAGCTCGAAACAAGGTGCTCCAGGTGCAAGCTCGGGAAGATGTTGGATAGAGAGAGGAATGGGTCCTGAGTTGCACAATCCGGCTCCGCTGGGACTCTCGCAAGCCCAAACTAAGGTCCGTGCCTCTATTGTTGATGCTGAGAGGCTACTAATTTGACAATAATTTTGTATGCTGGAAGTGTGCGTGTGTTTTGTTGTGTACACAAGGGCGGTTGTTGCAACCATTTACGATTATGGGTGCTACTACAAGGGTTTGTTTTAATGTTACAAATGTCTTGCGCATCGTTTTCAAATAATTTTTTGTGATGTTCTAAATGCAATTTTAGCGTTCCCTATTTTGATTTTCTATTGCATATGTTATGACCCATTTTCCGTCGTTCACAATAATTGGAGACCCTTTTGTATAATATTTTTTGTTGGATGTGTGTTGTAAGATATTATAATATTTTTTACACAAAACAAAAAAATTTACACCGCCAATTCCGCCCAGCGCGTTCACGCGCGTTGTGTCTCACCATCTCATGTTTGGATCGCACGACCTGAATATGTGCACTCGTTTTATCTAAAAAGTATCGGCGCATTTTGTTATCAATTAGTTTTATATTTCCCTTCCGATGGATATTTCAAAAAGGACTCAATCGAATTGTAATTCCAACGTTAGATAAAGGGTTTGTACTATTTCTCCCTAATCTCGCACGCGGGTCTAGGTATCTACTATTGTACTGCCAGGGAGTTACTGAAATCATCACAACCGAGGCATTTTTCAGCTAGAGTTGATATAAAATGCATTTATACTAAAATGTTATACCTATTTATAATTCATTTTATCAAGGAGGAACTAGTGTATATTTGGGCGACTACCATGTGTGGGTTTTTGTTAACAATTTTGGTGTCTATCATTCAAAATACATATGTGTTTCTTTTAAACAATCACCCCTTAAAAAAATTCCCATTCAAATATCACTACATGATAAAAGAAATGAAAAAAAATCCATGCCTCTTCCAGTTAGTGTGTGATAATTGTGTGAAATATTGTGTGTGTGTGTGTGTGTGTGTGTGTGAGCGCAGTTTAATAGCTTGTAGAGAACTCTCAAATGTATGATCGAGAGCTTTACGGAGTGTGATTAGGTAAAAAAAATATAGAAAACTTTTAGTGTATGTAATGTGTTTATTGAGAGCTTGTTGTGGAATTGCTAGCATGCTGATTAACATGTTTTTTTTCAAAGTCGCGTGTTTTCATGACGAGTTTGTTCTAGTCAGTTCAATAATCATTTGATAACACCCATAATGATCGAGAGGCCTAATGCCTATAGAGGGGGAGGTGAAGCATGAGGTGCTCATGGGGATGTGGTTGCGGGATGTCATGGGGATCCCAACTCACATGCATCCGCTGCACCACTATAGTATTGTTCACTGGTATAGCTAGTGCCCCTCCGCTGCACCACTACAGCAGCGGCGGCGGTAGGGAGGAGGGAGGCAGTTCGAAGCTGAGGCAGGATGGCAAGAAAGGGTTTCATGGCCATTGGAGAGATGGAAGAGGAAAAGGGCCCCTCATGTGCTGATATTGATGCTAGTTTAATTCAGGTGATTGATTACGAGTAGATTTTTTCAGGATCCTAATTAATCCTAGTACGGCAGTATGTGTGTTGGTGGTGTTGATCAATTCCAACAGGAAGAGTCATAGTGTGCAGTTCCAATTGTGTGTGGGTATGATATGGCTATATAATATGATTAGGTCGATGAATCGGTGATTATCTTGTCAAGCATCATTATTAGAAGAAAAAAACTCAACCTTCTAGTTTCCCTTTTACTGTAAAAATTGAGCATAGTTCTCTTTGTTCTTTCACCCCTTTTGCAGCAGTGTCATTTTAAGATTGGAAACTTGGAGTACTTGTTTCATTCATTATGACTACTAGGATGCGAGGTACTTTTTGGGGGAAATAACCCCTCTCCATGGATCAAAAGGAAGGAGATATTTAGGGCCTCTTTGATTCGCAGGATTCGAAAAACTGTGGGAACATGAAAAACACAAGATTGAAATTTCATGCCCATATGGTTGCTTTATAATTTAAAGCGGGGGAAACCCTTTTTCAGTAATCCTATAGAAGTTTGCTTTGTTTGATTGTATCATGGAAAAAAAACAAAAGATCATGTGAAAAGTAGTACAAATAAGTCCTTCGGAAAAATTCTACAGCATTCAATCCCATGAATCAAACAAACAATGTAGGAAAAATACCTAAGGATTCTAATACTCCAAAATCATATGAAAATCATTTAAATCAAAGAAGGCCTTATTGTGGACTGCATTTGGAGCCATTTATATTAAACCTTTGTGGCTTGGTCGACCTTCCGGGGAACCCTATTGCGCTTCTGAGCTGCCCCATTCCGGGTTCTTCCCGATTCCAGGTTCTAGAACCCTCGCCGAACCATTTTTTTCTTTTCTCATTGTTTTTTTTTGGTTTTTTTCTTTTGTTTTCTTTTTTCCTTTTTATTTTCCATTTGACCTTTCTTTTCTGTTTCCCCTTTTTATTTTTGGTGTAGCCAATATCTTTCCAAATTTGTGAACATTTTTTTCAAATATAGAACATTTTTTGGATTCAAGAAGATATTTTTCAAATTGCGAACATTTTTTATGAAACCGCGAACATTTTTCAAAAGCACGAACATTTAGTTTCAAATTCTGAACTTATTTTTGAAACTTGTAATTTTTTGAATCGGTGAATATATTTTGAATCGATGAAAATCTTTTTAATCGGCGAAATTTTTTGAATTGGTGAATTTTTTTGAATCGATGAACATTTTTGGAAATCCACTATCACTTTTTTTGTGAACATTTTAAAACAAAATTCATGAACATTTTTTGTTCAAATTCACGAACAACTATCCAATACACGTTTCTTCAAATTCACAAACATTTTTCCAAAATTTAATTTTTTTGAAATCCTGAATTATTTTAACAATGAAAAATTAAAAACAGAAAAAAACATAAAGGCCAAACAAAACGAAATGAAAAATACAGGACGGTCATCCCGACCCGCTCATGGGCTGACCAAATAGGGCGCGCTGGAGGAAGGACGTGCACGCTCGTTCGTTTGCCAGGGCATCACGCGTGGCATAGGAGGTCCCGACCCTTCCGACATGCCTTCAAGAGAAGAAAAACTAATCAAAAGAGCAAAATCTCGCCAAAAATTCTAATCCCTCTTACATACCCCCCTCGCCGCCGCCCCTTGCTTCTGTCCTCCTTCCCCTCCCCCTCCGCCTCTGGACAAATTAATCCGACCAATTCAACACCCCAAAGAGCTCGTCGTCAAATCCGCAAGCATGGGAGTACATTCGGACACCATCCCATGTTCCCTTCGATGCGGTGCCACCGTCGCTGCAGTTCGGGGATTCATGTGGGCACACATCACTGGTTTGCCCTACTGCGTGGAGGTACACCCACAACAATGACTCATACTTGGATGGAGAAGCACAAACCTTGAGGCCATGTTGAAAATTTTCCACACCATAGTGAAGGTGTCTGTACCAGAGTACCTAAGAGAACCAACTGTCGAGGACATAGAAAATCTATTGGCAATTGGCATAGCAAGAGGTTTCCAGGTATGCTTGGTTTAGTTGACTGCATGCACTTGCAATGAAAGAACTGTCCGAAAGATTTGCACGAGTACCGATGTCTTACCAAGGAGGCTACCATCATACTTGAAGTGGTGACATCAAAGGGCTTGTGGATTTGGCATGCATGGTTCTCACAACGACATCAATGTGCTTCGGCGATCTTCATTGTTCAAGAAACTTTGTAATGAGGAAGCTCCGGTGTGCAACTACATCGTCGACGAGCACAACTACAACATATAGTACTATCTTGCCAATGGTATGTATCCTCAGTGGGTGGCGTTTGTGAAGACTATATCCAAGCCCCGAGGTAATAAACAATGTCTTTTGCACAAATGCAAGAGTGCTAGGAAAGAAGCAGAGAGGACATTCGTGGTCCTTCAAGCTCGTTGGAGTTATTCGTGGAGCTGTGATGATGTGGGAACCAAAGATATTGTGACAGGTGATGACATGCTGCATAATATTGCACAACATGATTGAGAGGACGATGGGAAGAAGTAGCCCACACACCTGATTTTGAGAAGTCCGGAGTCTATGTCCGACTCCCAGAACAAGTTGAAGAGCATACTGTGAATTTTCTAGAGCTGTATCAATAACTGCAAAACCAATAGATGCAAGTGCAACTAATCAATGATCTCGTGAAGTACACAAATGTTTGAATTATGCTCTTCAAATAA